GTGAAAACCTCAATGGGTTCAAACGGAGCCTGGACAGACACACTAAAATGTCTACATTAGCTCGTCTAAAAGACCAGCACTGTTAGTAAAATGATAAACAAATGCTAGTGCAGTCTCCAGTATAGTCAATTACATTTAACTAGACTCTATTAACTAGGCAGCGAACGTTTCAATAATTTGCTGATTTTCTAACCTCTATGGTAATTGTTACAAATAAGAATCTCTCCCATCTGTAGGACAGAAACATGCATTTATTGGCAGCTGGAGAGTTAAATGTTCGTCTGGACCATTAACAAAAACTAACATCAAGGGTTTGTCAATGTAGTTGAAGATTGAACGATCAATTCATGTTTGTCTGCTCAAACCCAACTCCTCCATGTTTTTCGCTGGAGTCATCCATCCAGCAGTCATCGTCTCATCGTTCGCTGTTCATGGATGACGGAGAAAATCTATCAGAAGCTTCGTGTTCTATGACCTAATGGTTGGCTCTGTATTGGTGCAAGAATAAAGCGTTCTTGAGTTACCAATTTGTGTTCTGGTTTTTCGCGTTGGTTATTGCAGCGCATAGTTTCTGAAAGTCTTCCAAGGAGAGTGTGAAGTCCAGCTTAGTTTGACCAGGGCTTTGACAGGTTTCTATATATATAAATGATAAAAAATGCTTTTGCCCCTGCCATCTAAAAGCCTGTGCATCTTTTTGTCACGATGCTCTCCCATGGGCCCAAATGAATTCGTGAGACATATTTAAGTTTTGCCTTTTTTGTGGGTTCTAATCTTCCGGATCTTTAAATTCATTTCTCGCCTAAATATCACATTCTACCTGATGATAATCTTTTTTATTCATGCACAGTTATACACTATTTTATCTCAACTGCCTAGGCCAATATTCAAGCTAAAACTTACTCTTCGTTTTTATTTGTTGCTTCCTTAAAGTCTGGTTGTTTTGTTTAAAAACGCAACAGTACCAATGTTTGAGTAAAGCCGTATTTTCATCGAAAACATTATAGTTTCCATGCTTGGATCAATATGTTTAGAATTAAACACTGCAAATGCATACTATCGCTCCAAGAAGTTTCCGATTCCTTCCTGCATATATCTTGTAAGTGCACTATCAATGATGTATTATCCATAATTGTGTTTTATGACGTTTTGCAGCTTCCCGTGACGTTCTTCTCTTCGTGAAATAGTTTTTATTCGAGTGGCGGCATATCACTTATCCAAATGTACGCTGTTCACTAGCTGACTATCCTCAGGAGAGGGAACAAAGTTTGGGTTGTCGCTCAACTTTTATGGCGACCTGAGTGTAGGGTTTATAATCTAATATTATAAGAACCTGGTTTAATTGCTAATACAATAATTGAACAATTTAAATTTCGAAAAGTTATTAATTTATGGTACTTCAGGATTGTAATTTATAACATAACATAACATAAACGGCACAGACAATACTAGGTGGACAGGATACTACACCTGCATCCACTGAAAGCCAGTGCGTGGAAAACAGCAAAACAAAAAGGATGTCGAAAGACCTCGAAAGCGTCATCAAGGATGGGAGACGAATGTCAGACATGTAGTGTCATCGTTTCCAAAACTGACTTAGCATTTAAATGCAATTTTTGCAAACGATGGGTACACTGCGTTGTAATAATAGGTTGCCGAAACCATACTATGAGTTTATGCGAAATAACCCATGCCCATGGTTTTGGTATATCTACACACTTTGTTGCCCTGGCACAGCGTGTCTGTGGAAAGAATAAACAGCACGCTATTCATATGTCTGGAAACAGTCTCATGAAGCTCTCCACCTGCTAGTACCACACTACCAAAACTTGGTACAGACAGTAAGAAGGACACTTCAGCCCAGTTGACTGGAAATGCCAATCTTTACGAGGTGAATAGTCCCAAGGTTGCACCCACAACATAAGGGAAAGATAGAATTGCAAAAGCACCACCTGCATCCACTAGCAAGCTTGGCAACACAGCAAAGGCTGGCCAAAACCTGATGAAGCCTAAAGTTGCTGACGCTGCAAAGGAATACAAGCAGCCAAAGGCCAAGCCTAAGTCTGAGTTTAGTCGGTCTAGTTCTCTTATCCTATTATAATGTACACGTGAGCAAGGATGGCTTTCTTAAACAACGGGTCCTGCTTGATCAGGAACAGTGGTCCAACTTGCGCAAAAAATTAGGTCTGAACATTAGTTCAGCGGAAATGTGCAGGCTGTACAGGGGTGTCCACACGCCTCAAGGTAAGCCATCCCCAATAAGGGTTACACTGGAATCTGCCGAAGAGGCCGAAAGAATTCTAGTAATGCCTCAGGTACTAGCCAGAAAATCTAGCATAAGGATGAGGCACGACAGACAATGGGCTATCAGACAAATGGCAAGGGAGTCACCGGAACTGATGCCTTCTACTTCTATGGTTGTACACGGTGTTTCGAGGCTGGAAACTGGGGCTGCTCGTGAAAAACACATGCGTGACGTACAGCAATGGAGATGGCTGTCATCTCAGATGGCCCTTGGGGCTTCTGGAGCAGCCTCCATTTTCCGACTACCTCGCCCCGCTCATCTCACACTGATTAGCCCTCCAAAGCTGCTAAGTGTCACATTCAACTCCCCGGAGCAGTTGGTAATAACAATTCAACGGTGGTATGAGACGAAGGGAAAATAGGAGGACACATCCGATGCTGCGAAAGCAGACCCCGAGCCATAAAGAAGCGGCAAAGTGAGGCTTTAATACGTCCCCAAGCCTCGGTGGCACTAGAGCGATACAGTACTGAGAATAACAGCCTGTGTTATCCAAATGTCCTACCTGAATCCATGCAGAAAAACTATGGGGGGCCGGTTTCATCGGAATCGGCAAACTTGTCCCAACATCAAGTCCCCCACCAACAGACATCTTCGCATTAACTACCCCACAACACAGTGAGGTGTTGATAGACTCACTGTCAGCCGCCTATAGAGCAATGTTAAGGGGCTGAAAGGAAAAGTACGCGAACTGAGAAATCTCCAATCACACCTACGGCTTAAAATAATCATTCTCACTGAAACCTGACTAACCCCCACTATCGCTGACAACGAAATCAGTATAGGTGAGATGGTTCCGGTCCGGAGAGACAGGGATAATAAGGAAGGAGAGGGGTTGCTACATACTTTGACAGGCAACTTCTGTGTCCACGCAACGGATCTACCACTTATTCAACTCCCAGACTCCATATGGTGTCATTTTACCGTAGGCCGCACCAAGGATTTACTGGGTGGCAACGCCCGGCCGACCATAGATATCAGGTGTGAGTCGGTAGGGGATCGAACCTCGGACCAGGTGCATGGTCGGCGAGAGTCCTAACCACTGTGCCACCTTACTGTGGTCATAGGATCCGTAGATGCCACCCAGCCTGCAAAATTTAGGCTACTGATATCCATGCTGAAAATTCCATACTTCTACCAAAATACAGTGTGGAATCTTGCTGTAAATAAAAAATAAAAAAAATAAAAATAAAGGAAAATAAAAAAGTTTAGCCTTCTCCAAACAGCTAAACAGCAATCTAGGTATTACTGTTGCAGACCAAAATTGTGGCACTAATATTTCACAGGAGGAATACCTAGTGGCTACTCCCCAAATAAACCCGGCAATAGTTCTAGGGAAGCTACAGCGACTCACACTTGGGAAGTCCCTAGGTTGTGACTACATTAGGTCATCTGTTCTGAAACGGCACGCTGAAGCTCTCTGTAGGCCTTTATGCGACTTGTTCCAACCCTTAATGGACTCGAGGAAATTGCCAGAGGATGGAAAACAGACGTCCTTTCTCCGATCCTCAAGAGGGGAGATAAGCAAAATGCCGCTGGTTATAAACCAGTAGCTCTACTCCCAGTGGTATCAAAAGTGCTGGAAAGTATTATTGACGATCACGCCGGGAAATATTTCGATAGGTCTAATATACTCCATGAAGCCCAACACGGTTTCATGAAAGGCAGATCCTGCGTTACTAACCTACTATCAGCTTGGGGTGATTGGACATCATGTTGGGATATGAATGTTCCAGTCCATGTGGTCTTCCTGGAATCTGAGAAGGCATTTGACACTGTTCACCATGACCTTCACCTACACAAAATAAGCCAGGCAAGTATAGCTGAAAGGCAGTTTTGCACTAGGGTAATTCGAGTCCGATCATCATGGCATGGCTCGTCATCAGGAGTGTCGCAGGGTTCTATCCTAGTACCACTGATGTTTTTGATTTTTATCAGTGATTTGCCATGTCGTCTAAGCTGCCCGACTCTTCTAGACGCTGACGACGTAAAGATATAGAGGGCGATAAAGTGTCTGGAGGACTCAGATAGGCTGCAGGAAGATAGAAACCTTCTGAAAGACTGGGCGGCGGTCAGGAGCATGACTTTCAACCTGAAAAAGCGAAGGCTGGACAATCACGCAGCGACATAAATACTATGTCCAAATGGCCTATCCCCTTGAAATCCCATACACCATTCAGGGGTAGACAACTAAGTTCGTTGTTTTACTCCTTTACATTCTTTCCCGTCTTACTCTCCTGACAACTTTAACTACACTTATTATTATTATCATTATTAACGATATGTATTATTCATATTATTCTTCAAACTTAATCAGCTGACTATTGTTACGTTTTCTTTATTTGTATTTCTCTCTCTAAGTCTGAACAACTTCACTAATTATATCTATTATTATTATTATCATCATTATTATTGTTATTATCTCTTTTCTTTTGACAGCGATACCGGAGGAATGACTGGTGAAAGGATCAACTCCATTCACAATGGTAACACACCCCACACTACAAACCACATATAATGAATCCCAGCACTACTCCTTTGGGAGTCAACCAAAGCTACGACAGTCGAGTGGCGGGACGAGCTACGCAGAAGTTTGCCAAATATCAGAAATCTATACCTCACAATCAAGAGGCGAGCACAAAGAAATCAAATTGGCTTATACTAGCTCGTAAAAACGGTATTGAATATCGGACACAATGCTGAAAAATTGAGTGTGTACGTTACATCTGGACTTCTGTCTAAATCTTAGTGTTTTATTCTTTGCGTTGTGTTGTTGCTATTCCTTCAATTGCAGAATCGATGATAATAATTATCGAACCACCTTCCAGTTATGCATTTTCGATGTAAGTGTCTCTTGGGCGAATTGAAACTATCAGATCACTGTATACAGTGATCTTGAACTACTAATCAGAACTCAGATGTCAAAAAGTCGCATAATAGTTGAAAGTACAGTGGAAAATATTGCTAAATCGATAATGCACTGTGCAACTGTAGATTATCTGTTGTAATAATGACTCCCAGTCAATACACCAATAATCTACAGAGAAATCGTACCATGCCCCAAGCTTACTATAATACCGAATTAAATCTTGCTAATTCTGAACTAACTCTACCATTCTATAATTAGTAAATTCTGAAGATGTTCTGAAATGGTTTGATTATGCGCTCAGATTAGAAATCAGTGCTGGTTTTCAGCATGACTAAGATTAACTCAGCAACCTGTTCTTTTTCTAATCATTTTCAGGAGTATATCAAAACCTAATGGGTTTCTGCCAGCCCTTACAGGAATTATTCAGCAATGACTGGCATTACTTCAGATGCTAGTCTTATTTTAAAGATTTCGTCGCATTAATTAAGTACCCAGCTCTCTTCTTAAGCACGACCAGCGTTATTTCAGTAAATAGTGGGTAGACAAGATATTCATTTACCATTAAAAAGCATTATTGACGCTTAGGTTAGATTAAGCTTAGAATTGTTGTAAGCTTGGGGTGCGGCCTACCCATTCATCCAGGTAACTGTAAGTCATGGTACCTTGGAGGTACTCTCTGACGCCATTCCTCAGACTACTCCTAACTGCCAATCCTAACTTTGACCATAAACCTCACCTAGACCCTGAAACTTAATCTTTAAATCCATAATTCCACCTAACAGTATAGATTTGGAGAAAGAGTACTTAGGGAATAAGCAGAATACACTATCTACCCTCTCCAAGTCCTAAAAGACATCCATGGTTCGATTTGGAATGATATTTGAAAGAATTTGGCTATGATACATTAACTTCGCCGGGTCTCGAAGTTTGGTTATTTTCCTGCAAACCGTCTAAGAAATGTACTATGGCTTGTTATCGATACTAAACCATCGTTTTACACCTAAATCTCTGCAAAGTCTAACTGTGGGAGCCATGCGGGTCGATCTTAAGGCCGACTTTGAAAAACTACTGCTAGAATAAGCAACGATGAATGTAACAAAATGCTAGTAAAATAAAATGTTCGTTTTGCATAACGGTGAGATTAAAGTATAGGTCCCACCTCAATAGGTCTTAGGAGAGACTCTAAGCAACTAGTCAAAATTTAGGAGCTGTAGAACTCGCGAATTTGTCCTGAAGATAATGATATATCTTGACGGCCTGAGATCAGTTTATATTTGAAATTATGTTATTTATTCTTTTCGAAATTTGAGTTCTCTGAAAAGACTAGTTATGCAGTCGAGTTTCACTCCAATTAATCAGTTACATACATAGGAATCAAATATTCGATTTTCCTGGAATTGTCTGAGCAAATTCAGAACAGAAGAATTACTCTGATTTGGTTGTAGCATCTGGAACTCTAATCGATTATTTACTGTCATGTGCTTGATTGGCTGCGATGGTGTCGTTTCGCCTGCATAACAAACATTTTAAAGTATTTTCAAGTGTTGACTCGTATATCCATGAAGTTTTTACGCTGTCGTGATTAGTTGCACCTAGAATTCAGTTACACTCGCATATAATCTGTAATTACAGATTAGACAACGTTCCAAGGTTAAGCGTGGGATTGTAATTACAATAATGGTGAGTAGGTTCTAGTAAACTAAAGCCTTTTTCTATGGCGAGCGAATGGTCAAAAGATGCTAGTTGCACGGTTTTCTGCTCTATTTTTCGGTATTAATTCAGCTCCTCTTGCTGTTTTTCAGCTTCATTTCAACACATCAGACATCACTTAAGCATTTTCCGCATCATTTCAGCATAGATGGGTTATTTTAATTACACAGTGCGTTTGTTTTGCATTAGACCGCATTGTCGATCTAGCGTATCTGTGAACTGGGGAAATCCACAGTGAGCCCTGAAGTCCTGGAGTGTTCTAAATGGTGTTTATCCCTGTGGTGTTTGTGTGATAATTAGGCAGCACCATAAGCAGAAACTTCAGTACAAATGAGTCTCCTTGCGACGAAGGAAAAAGTATGTGGGGACATGAAACGTCCGCACTATGTATGAGACTGGCAAAGCTGCGCAGATGGCAAATGACATGAAAAGATATGGTATTGAATTAGTGGGAATATGTGAAAGCAGAAGGAATTGGACTCGCAGAATTTTCAACGAGATAGTCAGTGATGTACTCCGCTCAGCCAGAAGACAACCACAAGCACACCGAGCACATGATGTCACCAATGACAATGAAGGCCCTGATACAATGGGAGGCGATCTCGCCCAGATCAATGACCACCAGAAAGGAAAGTGACAATTAAACCATACTATACACCAAAAAAACAACGCAGACTTAGAAAAGAAGGAAGAGTTCTACAGGTAACAGTGGACAATACTCCAGTCGGTGACATTAAAATCCTAATGGGCGACATGAACGCCAAACTGAAACTAGACAATACTTGAGAATTCTTTACAGGTAGAGAAGCACTCGAAGAGACGAATGAGAATGGAGACCTCTCCGTCGAATTCTGTGGCTTCAGTGACCTAGTGATTGGTGACAACGTATACAAACACAAGGATATACACAAGGCTACATGTGTGTCACCAGATGGGTGAACCAAAAACAAAATTGACTTCATCTCAATGCTGCGTAAGGAAGTGGAGACGCAGCTTACTGGACAAGAAAGTAAGAAGAGGACCAGACGTTGGCTCGGACCACTATCTCGTACAAAGAACACTCCAAATCAAATTAAAAGCTTTCAAAGAAACAGGAGCTACAGATAGACAATAAACCAGGTTCAATAGTAAAACACTGGTGGATCAGGCTACAGGGGAAATCTTCACTACAATCATAAGGAAAAAGATGGAGACACAAATCAACACTAGCAAAGAGACCAGCGTTGAAAAGCACTGGAACTGACAATTATATACCTCATCCAACAGTTGTACGATAATGCTGCATGCCAAGTAATCCACAACAGGAAACTCACGGAATCCTTCGAAGTGAAGGCGGGAGTAAAACAAGGCTGCCTACTATCTCCAATGATTTTCCTGATTGCAGTATACTGGACAATGCGACAGACAGTGGGCAACGACGAGACAGGCATAAAATGGACCCTCACAAAAAACTTGGAAGATCTGGACTTCACCGATGATATATGTTTGATTCCCCAAAAACAGAAAGATATGCAAGTGAAAAACAACAAGTTGACAGAAGAAGCATCAAAGACAGGGCTTCAGGTGAACATAGGGAAAACAGAGGTGATGAAGATTCCTGACTAACAGCAACAGACAACAATCAGCATAAATGGGAGAAATCTGAAAGAAGCTACCTCCGTCATCTACCCACCTAGGAAGCATCGTTGCAACTACAGGTGGAACTGACGAGGATATCAAAGCAAAGATCTGCAAAGCAAAGCAAGCTTTCATTGCTCTCAAGTCTGTGTGGAGAACTAAAGCATCAAAAATAAGATCGGGGTTTTCAACTCCAATGTGACGTCAGTGCTACTATACGGATCAGAGATTTGGCGCGTTATGAAGGACATTTCGAAAAAACTACAGACCTTCATCAACAGCTGTCTTCGCTCAATACTGAAGACCAGATGGCCAGAAAAGATCAGCAATAGGGACCTCTGGGAGTGAACCAACCACGAACCAATTGTGCAACAAATGTGCAGGAATTGGTTACTGGATTTCATCATGAGCTGACATCAGTTAGAGAACCATTGGAAAAGAAATGGAAGGAGGATTGGTCATACTCTGAGAAAACCACCAAGTGGCATCACGCGCCAGGCTCTTCAGTGGAAGCCGAATTGTAAGCAGTGAGTTGGTCGTCCGAGGATGACATGGAGGTCATGCAAAGAGGAGATGAAGACATGTGGGCAGACGTGGAGCCAAGTGAAAACGTTGGCAGAGAACCGAACGCAATGAAGACGTGCGGCTGAAGCCGTGTGTTTCTCTAGGGACTAAAGGAAGCAATAGTGATAAGCAGGTTGGCATCGTCTTTAAAAATACTTAGTGCAACCCATGGCGTTCATATCTTTACATGTTTTTCCAAATTTTTTGACAATTAATGACGGTCCTGCTAATCAACTTTCTTCATTCATCGGTAGTTAGAAAAATGGCATTGTAATTCAGGATTCGGCAGTAACTTACATCAAAGCCAGTGTTGGCTTTCTGCACAACCGCATCATACGTTGCAGTCTTACTTCACTTAGACATTATCCGTCACTTCTCTCAGACCAAATTACTGAACTTGTCTTGAAACTGCGGGTGGAACCCTATTCATAGATCTGCTCAGATGTCTTAGGTTGTGAATCACTCAATCTGGACAGCTGGATAGAAATATAGAAAGGAAACTTTCTCGATAACCATAAAATGTTTTTAATAATCATCATGGTATAGTCTTACCATTTATGTCGGGAAAAAGTGTTAGATTACACTATGCGCCTAGAATTGGATTCAAAAGTGGATTGGGTTTCTTTCGAATCTCTACTTCACTAATTTTACATCTCGCTTATCAGACGTTTACTGCCCGAAATCATGAAAAGTTGTATGGTGTGGAGAAATGGTATCGCAATTTTCATACAGATGCAAAGCTGCAGCCGATTTTAATCAGTATATTTATAATCACTAACTAGCGTCGCACGTCATGCCGCAAAATGAAAGTGGGAATGGTAGGGCCATCCCTATTTTAAGAAGAAAATAACTTTGCTGTTGTTTCACATATGAAAATAACCTATCTCTGGCGAGGTCGAGAGTAAATGCTTTCTTTTAAAGTTTGTTCACTCTTTATTACTTCATTTCTTTTATCTTTAAAATGGATAACCACAGTTTCAGATAAGTTATGAATCGTTTGGCTATCCTACGTTACTCCAACTTTTCTTTATATGGACGAACTGGACAGCCGGTTAGATATCGTTATGTTCCTGATCCAGGCACACTTGAACAACGTCTGTTTAGAGCGGTCACGAGGCCTGTATTGCCTCCTGTGAATGTGAATCCGGTAGAGAAGCGTCTACGTATAATGGAGGAAAAGCGTTTGCGTGTGAGTAATAACATTACTTTTTGCTTTACGCTTGTACCTTGCGAATTTTAAGGCATACATATGTCACTAATATATGTTAATATTAATATAGTGTGCTACAAGGAGACTGTGAGACTTGTCTCTGGCAAGTCTGAGTGAAACAGCAATCTTACCAATATATTTTTAGATTTTCGAATTTATTGTATGCCTTATTTTTGTTCATTTTGCCTGATTCCAAGTTGAAATGACTATTGGAGTGGTTAAGGTTTTCAGCATGTAGTACTAAGTGCACATGTCTACTTCACAATGTCCACAACTTCAGCTTTATTGCATACTCATTTTATTACAACAGGCACTTTCAAACTGTTTCGGTTTGTACATCTGTTACTTTGTGTAGCTTAAATTAATAAAAACGAGTATACTTTTATGTGCAAAGGATACAAGATCGATATCTGACTGAACATAAGATTTTTGATTGATATTCCACTGTCTTAAAATGAAAGAATTCGCAATTTTGCTTATATATATGCACTAGCGTGAACAATCACTTTTTGTAACGTTTATCTTTGCTGCTCCGAGAATCGAAATAAACAAGGTTTAGTGCATCAACTTCCATTTTTTATAAAATGCTTCTGAATTGATTAGGTTTTGGAAAATAGCATGGTCCAAGACTTGGAGTTATGTTGGTTAGATATTGTATTCGTTTGCTGATTGTCCTGTTAAATATTTCTCTTAACTTTCATCACTGGTCGCGGATTCCAGAGGCTAATTTGTTGTGTTTGTCTTCACCATGTATAACTGTGACATGTGATTTATTGCATCAGCATTTCTCACCGGTCACAAGTAATTCATTTCAAACTGTTTACTCCCTCTGAATATTATTCAGTCTCTAAACAGTATGATTTGCGACTCTACTTCGTGAATAATTTTCTCAAAGAAATATTGGTATTCAGATCGCAGGGTCATACAGTCTTTACCAACTTGCTAAGTTTGGAAATTATTCTACTTTCACCAGTGCTACTGGTATTATTATTGTTATAAGTTCTGCTGCCCACAAAATATATGGATGTCTCTTAAAAGACCATAAACTACTGTTTAGCAATACGCAGTGTTCTATGCCGTTTTAATACATTAATTTTCGAAGTGTTGGTGGTTATTTAGAGATGTAACTGTAGTAGGTTGTTGTTTTTTCAAGTAAGTGTAGTTTCTTACCGAAATAATTATATAGGAGCCAGGGAAGTTTGATCCTAAAGACCACCCATTCCACTCTACTTTGTAGGTTTATGGCGTCAGCAATAAGATGATACGTGTACAGACTAAACTGAACAGGATAGTCTCCAGTGGGGTAATGGGTGCGTCACAAATTACGATGAGACAGCTGTTTGGTACTGCTTAGTTGTAAATAGTTCTTTAAGTGATTTCACTTTGTGATCAAACTTAAAAGATTAATACACTTAAATCTCTTATGTTACTGGTCTCAAGTAGAATCCTTCCGCACTCTATTATCATTCAAGGCTAATGTACTTTTTCCTAAGTCGTAGGCAGTGAGTATCCTAGAATGAATGGTCAACTACTCACACGCCCTAACAGACACGCAGTATACATCTAGTCATATTAAATATCATAGAGAAGATTTGTAGCTCGGGTGGATGATTTTGATGTGGTTGTGTTCTCTGAGCTGGATGGTTCATTTGCAAATGAACCATCCAGCTCAGAGAACACAACCACATTAAAGTCATATTAAATTTTCACCATCGTTCGTCCCTTTCTTTCATCACTACGTTCAATTTGTAATACCGTAATTCTCTGTGACATCTTAAGCTGCCTAATCTACGACCATAACTAACTATTCAAGGCCATAGGGAATCATTGCCTGCTTGCTCATTCATGTTAAAATTCTGATCGCTACAACTTCACATCACTGATTCACCAGTTGAAATGCTAAAATTTCGAATAATACAGATGATTGCCGTTAGAAGACATAAATAACACTGAGATTTGATTGTTCATTTGAAAAATCAGAGCTGACGCGTGCTGAATGGGTTTCATACCTTACATCAATGCCTCAGCTTCTTACCCAACTGTTCAGTTATTTGAGATTTTACTTTTTAAATAGAGGACGTGTTAATATGTGTAATAAGGGTAGTATCTAGTAGCGATGATAAGGTAGTACTCAGATTTGTTTAGCAACCTTTTTAATCTTCGCTCTCACCATCTACTGGTATTTCCCTTTCACTATATGAAGAGAGAATAGAGTATGAATAGGCAGACTGTTGACTTTTCTTTTTCAGTTTTTACAGCTATACTTGTCTGCTTATATTAAAATAGATGTACTATAATTCTGTTTTCTTGTTAATACGCTTTTCTATTATCCTAAAGTATCTTTTTTCCGAAGAATGGACACTGAACAGGGTACTCTTTTCGATAAATTCATCATCAGCCTTTACAGTTATATATACATTATAGTGAATGAATGAATTAGTGTTATGAACGACATTAATGTTTAAATAACATCGAATTAATAATAGTGATAGATTACAGCTTAATAGCATCAACATAAAATAAGCTGAATGTCAGAAATGCAAATTAGGAAAGATAATATTACAAATTCATGAATTTATAGTCTCTACTGAAGGCCAGGGCAGTAGTAGGGGCTCGACATGCTTCTTTTGAACACATCGCACTGGTTGTTTGAGGCGAATCGCACTAGCTTCTGCTGTTTGGCGCATGCGGTGCTTCGATGATTTTGTCAATTTATTAGGCACCCAGTAGACTATAGAGAAGAATTCTTCTACTCTGGCTTTGTGGCCGGTTTGTACCAGATGGTCCAATATCGAGCTGTTAATGGTTTTCTCTCTACAAATGTATTATCCTTATGGTTATTGTTGTTTTTTAATCTTAATTTTAGCTAGAAAATAATCCCTACCGTAAATTTCTAGTCGACAGAGCGAAAGAGGAATTTTTAAAAAGTCTGGATGATAATATGGTTTTAGTTTTTCAACGATTATATCATAAAGCTCGTGAAATGGTTCCTGTAGCGAACAAGTTATTTTTAAAGGGAATGAGGTATAATGGATTCCCACTGTCTATTATAAGGTTAGTGATTGTCATAATTTTCTGAAGTTTACATCCATGCGGTTAGAAGATACGTTATTTATGCTTATTTGTGCGTCGGTGGCACAGTGGTTAGGACTCTCGCCGACTATGCACATGGTCCAAAGTTCGATCCCCTGCCGACGAACACCTGATATCTATAGTCGGCATGCAAAATTTGGGCTACCGATATCAATGCTGAAAATTCCATACTTGTACCAAAAATACAGTGTGGAACCAAGCTGTAATCAAAAATAAAAAATTAATATGTTTATGTTTTCACAAATATCAAAACTAACTCTGGATGTGTAACCTAAGCCCTACTGAATTGTTGTAGCTGCAATGACTGGCTTTGCATGAGTTACTACTTTTTGTCACTTCGAATTAGTTACCAAATTTCCCTCTTCGCTATTTATAGTTAACCAGTTGATGTATAATAGGGATATACATATCTCAGTATTTGGTGATGCAGTCTTCAATTATCAGGCGTGGAAGTGAACATAATCGTGTTGTTTAAAAACTGTTCTGAAGTTATTTCTTGTGGGTTTTCTTCAGATAAGGTTATGTGCAAACTTTATCTCCAAAAGGTTTCCAGACAAATACCTGTACTCTGTATGCTTATATCCTAACAGTTTGTTCTTCTTCAAAAATAGCTCTGACTCTGTTGAATGATACTTAGAAGAGGCAGATCGATTATGTGTAGACGACTGATTTTCATCTGAATACATCATGTCGTTTTGCAATTAATAGTGTTTGTTCTCTGAGCTGGTTGGCTTAGTCGCGGAGATTTCGTCGTCTTTCTGGATAACATTTTCAGCACAATATTTAGCATAAAGTGAAATGATTCAAATTTCTTCTTGAGTGATATAATTGCGTCTCCCGATAACCATCTTTACATATGTATTGACCATTTTCTATTGACTCGGATTTTAAACTTTCTGGTCACCTGATTTACTTTCTGTTAGTTGGTATATTTCGTCTATATTAACGTGTTTGTTGATTGCATTTTCGTTTGAGTACCAGGCTTCTAGGAATTCCCTGATTACAGTTTTTGTGTTTCCTCTGTCTAAGATTTCGACATTCATTTTACCATACATGAGAAATATCTCTGAAATAACAGCCAGAATACTGAAACCATTTGATATAGGTATAGCACACAAGCTGGTCAAATCGCTTAATTCGATATAATGCAAACCGAAAGAACCCACAGAAAAAGGAGATAAAATTAATACCATTTACAAAATAAATTGTATGGACTGTAACAGGCATTACATCGGCCAAAGTGGGCGTCCCCTTCGAATCAGAATGCAGGAACACAAATCAGCTGTGAAAAGACACGATATATATTCCTATTCCATATCAATGCATATAGACAATTATTGGCTTCTGTTTAATTGGGATAATTTCGAAATCTTAGACAGAGGAAACACCAAAACTGCAATCAGGGAATTCCTAGAAGCCTGGTACTCAAACGAAAATGCAATTAACAAACACGTTAATATAGACGAAATATACCAACTAACAGAAAGTAAATCAGGTGACCAGAAAGTTTAAAATCCGAGTCAATAGAAAATGGTCAATACATATGTGAAGATGGTTATCGGGAGACGCAATTATATCACTCAAGAAGAAATTTAAATCATTTCACTTTATGCTAAATATTGCGCTGAAGATGTTGTCCAGAATGGGGACGACGGAAGCTTGGCAACTAAACCAACCAGCTCAGAGAACACTATTAATTGCAAATCATCCACCTGGGCTACAAATCTTCTCTATTACTTCATGTCGTTTCTTTGTTTTTGCATCACAGAAGAATCTGCTGTATTTCCTAGTCAAGTTTCTTATCCCAGTGAATTCAATTGATTTCTTAATATTGACGTGACTATAGGCTCTGTAACTTATTCACCATATCCACACCATCTACTAAACTTTTATTTTTTATTTTTTGATTACAGCTTGATTCCACACTGTATTTTTGGTACAAGTATGGATTTTTCAGCATTGAAAGCGGTAGCCCAAATTTTGCATGCCTACCATAGACATCAGGTGTTCGTCGGCAGGGGATCGAACCTCGGACCATGTGCATGGTCGGCGAGAATCCTAACCACTGTTAGTTTAATGACTTAAGCAAGACAAATCTGATAAGCATTTTGTTGTCACACAGCATAGTCCTTGTATTATCCATCCAAATTACTGGTGTCTTCACATTTCTTCTGTAGGGAAGCTGCAAAAGGAACCCGGTATGAATTATTCACGCGTTATTTTCTCCATTCTGATGTTCCAAACACATATTTATTTGCTCAGCCAACACCTGAAAATTGTCGAGATGCCATAAATATTACTAAAAAGGTCCACTTTCTCCTGTTACTTGGTGAGTTATAACATCTTTCGTATATATTGCACATGTATCAAGGGTTTTGAATCATTAGCCATGTCTAAATTAATGGTCTTCGGGTTTATTAGGCTTATTTGGCTTACAACCAAATGAGTTACTAGTTCAAACTTAGTTTTAGTTACCGAAGTTTGGACAACGTGCAGTTGAAGCCCTATGTTCCACTAGGAACCCAAGGGAACAATAATAATAATAAATAAGTTTAGACAATCGAATAGAGAAAGTTATCAAACAGTAAACTGCGTATTTATGCTGAATACATGATACACACGTGATTACCGAAGTGTATCTAGTTAATCATATAGTCTAAGACCATTCCATACGAGTAATACGTTTTGTGTGTTATTTGAACATAAACTTGATACTGTTCGGACACTTTAAATGAGCCGCACACACACACTCACATTCGAATAACAATTTAAAGAAAAGAGGAGTAGTACATAATAAGATTTTAAAAGAAAACATGTTCTCTAAGGAAATGACATTCCAGGAAGCTTAAAACAATTAGTCCCTTTGATAAATTTGAATAAGGCATTAAGAAGACAAATTTCGCGAGATGATATCGTCATTTCCTAGTTTCTTTACAACCACTTTACAACTAACATGGTTAACAATAATAAAATATAAATTATGACAATTACTCAGTAAACAAAAACTGTGTTCAAAAAGCAATCTACTTCAATCTTCGCCTACTATAGACTACATGACCTATTTAAATGTGATTGGTCATTAGTATGTACGTTTTTTTTACTTAACTGAGTAATTGTCATGCGTTCTATTTTATTATCGTTAACCATGTTTAGTTGTAAAGCGGTTGTAAAGAAACTAGGAAATGACGATATCGTCTCGCGAAATTTGTCTTCTAAATGCCTTATTCAAATTCCAGGAGGCGTTTGTTTCTTCGTATTAGTTTCAGAGATAGAAAAGAAGATAGATATTGAATGATTCGTTTCTTTTTTGTCGTATCCGATTGCATTTCCAGTAACTGATTCTCTTGATCCCTCCAACCTTTCTCAGATGGTTGTGACGCACTATTATTGTATTATTATTATTGTTCCCTTGGGTTCCTAGTGGAATATAGGGCTTCAGCTGCACATCTCCACTTGCTTTTGTCTTCCTTCTGCTGTACTTTTCACCTGCATCCATGTTAGTCCGTACTGTTTCAGCTCCTCTTCACACGATCTCCCCTATGTCACCCTTGCACCGACGTCCCACTCACCGCTTCCCTTTCAGCCTGGTTTCACTCAAACAATGGCCTGACGCGCGCGCGATGTCACCCAGCGGCCTCCTCAGCGAGTGTCCAATCCATCTCCACTTTTTCTTGCATATTTGTTGGGCGATTGGTTCTTGTTTTGTTTGTTTGTTCCCATAGTTTCTTGTTAGTGATTGATTCTTTCCGGCCCGGCCATCTGATCTTCAGTATAGAGCCAGCGAAGACATTTGTTGATAAAGGTCTGGTCTCCAACAGGCTGTTGGAAATATTCTTTGTGACCCACCAGCCAAGTTTCTGATTCGTATAGAAGAATTGACTGACTTGACGTTTGTATTGAAGATCCGAATTTTGTTGTTGATGCTGAGTGACGAAGATTTCCAGATTGGTTTCAGGTTGGTGAATGTGTTTCCGGCCTTCCCGATTCTCACTCGATTTGACATCCTCGTCCGTTCCGACTGCGTGTAGTTGAGACAATGCTCCCTAGATAAGTGAATAAAGTAACCTCTTTCAAATCATTCCCGTTAATGGTGATTGGCGCTGGATGTTGCTGTTGTTGTTGGTTGGATGGTTATTTTCATAACCTCCATCTTGTCCATGTTCATCTGACGCACTGACAAATGCTAATTCAGAAATGTCATGTGACAGCACAACTTTGTGAAATGACTTCATTTCCCACGACTTGTTTCAGATCTAGTAAACAATGAACGATATGAAAGCCACTGAAGCTGGATTACCAAGACAACTTCACCAATTGAAAGGCTATCTGCACTGTCTCCACACATATCGCTGCTGTACTCAGAACATTGTTCAGCAACATGGAGTCGTGCACATCATAATCTCGGAGAAGCCAGGTTTCACGTTTAGCTGGAGTGTGGAGACAGCGTACATGCATTTAATGATCCTTCTTTTATCTCTTGTGTGTAACTGTAGTTAGATGCAAATTCTTGGATCGATAAAACTCATGATGCCATTATTAAATGCCAACCCTACCTGCATCGGCTTGCATTGTTTAAGACATCAACCAGGCGTCCTATTGATTATTAAAAGTTGAGTGTACTGTGTATCAGTGCACCCTATCTTTCTAGAAGTAAAGATCTTAGGTGTTGTTTCTGTAGTATGACCGATTGGAGACTGTAGCTCAAAGAGACAGTTGCAGTGATTCTGCGTTCATACTTTCGTATGTTTCTAAGTCTTCGTATCGTGTTTATTTATCTTCTGACTTGCCTGATGCTGTTTTATTAACCTTAACACCATTATGTTCAATTCTCTATCTTCTCTTTGTCTGTTTTTATAGTTGTGTGATATGCAGTAATGTTAGGTACTATATTTCGAATTTATGTGCCCCTCTTTTTGGCATCACTTGCTTAGTGTTCTAGCAGTATGTAGTAATAATAGTGGAGAGTACTGAATATACTCCTCTATAAATTTGAAAATAGAAAGAAGAAACATTGGTCCAGAGTAACATGAATCCACTTCATTCCATAGGTTCTCGTCAGTCATATACGACCTGTAAAATTTAATCAGATGATTTATAGTAAAATTGTGACACACTTTTGTTTACCAAAAGGTTTGTAAACTTTCTAAAGTCAGTCTTACTGAAGGTCATTTTTTTTAGTTCGATAACTTGAGAAATAATGACTCTGAAAAGGATCCTAGACTACTCAAGTATTGGTTTGTAGGGATTTGATTGATTGGTTACAGGATTTCATCATGAGGTGTGCAGCAGGTCGGGTGTGCGGACAAATACTCACCGAAGACGTTGACTATTGGTTGCGCTATATCGTGAATTGGCAGAAGTTGGAATTCATGCACTGGCCATTGGATCGGGTCCCAGTGGCTTAATGGTCTACGAGCTCGCCTTGTAACCAGAAGGTCTTGAGTTCGAACCCCGGTGGATGCGTACCACTGAAGAGTCCCGAAACTAGGACGAAACGGCTGTTCAGTACTCCCTGCAGGTTTTCCAATGGTTCTCTGCCTGATGTCAGTTCATGATGAAATCCTGTAGCCAATCCTAGACTACGTTTGTTTGTGGCTCGGTGAAAGGAATAATCTAATATGAAAACTTTGCAGGTCAGTTGAACTACCAGATCCTAGACCCCCAATAAGGTGGCACAGTGGTTAGGACTCTCGCCGACCATGCACATGGTCCGAGGTTCGATCTCCTGCCGACGCACACCTCATATCTATGGTCGGCCTGCGAAATTTGGGCTACCGATATCCATGCTGAAAATTCCATACTTGTACGAAAAATACAGTATGGAATCAAGCTGTAATCAAAAAAATTAAAAAAAAATAAGAAATCCAGTAGAAAACCAGCTGTAACACTTCATATAATATACAGCTGTTTAACAGGATAGTTATAGAAACTAACTTAGCAGGAGGTCAGTTGGTGAAATTTTTTTATTCGCCTATTCCAGACATTTCCCATGTATCCAGAAAATTCTAATTACCCAATAGCAAGCGACTAAGCGAACTATTAGAACGAGATATCTAAATTCTGGAATTACCTTTAATATGACAATAAAAGCTGCACCATATATACGTGTATAGTTGTTATTTTATCCTTACATTTCTCCTTCATAATTTGAGATTATTTTCTCGAATACATGATTACTCTGGTACATTAAAAAGTTAAGACAATCAGGTATGAACCAACCTTTAGTTTTGCAATTTTTAAACTCCTGTATTTTACCTATTGTACTCTACTGCTCTCCATTAATCTTTCCTGGGCTGCTCAAAAAAGATTATATCATATTACGAAGAGTATTAAATGCTGTGAGTAGAGCTTGTGGTCTGCCACTGCGTGAGCTCACCAATACTATAGTCGAGAGACACATAAGTTCCTGTACAAAATGGGCAAAGGCTGTACTGTCAGACCCTCTGCACCCACTTTATTCACAACTATCCCCTTGTATCTTATCAGGTAGGATGAAAAGTCAATATAAAAAGTTATATGATCGTACCACTAAGTACAGAAATTCTACAATACCCTATTTAACCCGTACTTTATGTGACGAAGACTCTGTTAGACGTGAAATACTATGTAATACTATGTAATTAACAAAGTGAATCGACCCTTTTATTGTTCATCTTTCTGTATTATATGGTGTCACACTTTCTATCGTTTAATTATAACTTTGCTATTTTATTTTAGTTGTTATTACTATTATTACTATAATTTTGTACTTTATGCATATTTTTCTCCGTATTGCATACACTAATTTGCTATGTAGCTGTTATAACAACGTTTTATTCCTATTATTATGTAATGTTTATTTTTATTTTTGGTTTGTCGTTTTTGAGTAAATTATATGCAATATTGTACTGAATGCTGAAAATTCCTTGCTGTATCATTAGTACTGTTTTTGGAATAAAGCAAATTATCATTATCATTATCTGTGTATTTTAATTAGCGGTTGTAAGCTAAATAAATGATGGGGGAAGAATGGTATATGCATTCGCCCTTGTATCTTAATCTAATGTTCATCCTTCTTTTTCTTTTGTACGATTTAGGTGGTATGGTTAACAACAGAATTATGACTGTAAAACAATTGAATGATTATGCAGCTTTGTCAGTCAAGGGATTAAATGGTGTACGCAGTGAACTAGTCATGTTATTGGAGAATAATCGAGGTGGACAGGTTGTAGAAAACTTAAATTATCATCAGTCATTCATCGTTGGCGGTTTGAAGAATTTGTCTGATAGTATGGAAAGTAATAAAGCGTCAAACTCTGAGGCATAAAATGCAATTTTTCCCCCATATTATTAATGATTTCTTGTAAATATCTTGAATGTGTTTTTAGTATTGTAAATAAACATTTTTTACTGCACTGAGTTAGTTCTTAATTTTTCGCCTACATTTTTAACCTTATCCTGTGTAAGTTTCTCTCTCTCGCTGTCTCTCTCTCACACACACATTCATTATTACTTTACCCAGCTAGTTTATGAAATTTATATTTTACAGATGTCGTATGTATTCCCTAGATAGCAGAAAATGAGTTTGTATGAGTAGGGCATATGCGTCGGTGGTATAGTGGTTAGCACGCTCGCCAACCATGCACATGGTCCGGCCGACGCACTCCTTTACCTCGCTAAGCCAGTAATAAAAGCTGGTAAAGAGAGAAGGTTAGGCATGAGGCTAGCAACCCCATCCTGTAAAAATTAAATACTGCTACAGAAACTTCAAGCCCTCTAGCTTGAAGCCCTATGTTCCACTTGGAACGTGAAGGAAAAAAATGAGTAGGGCATACGTCAATAATATGATGTACATTTTTGATGGACTTGTTGTTAATGTCCAGTTGCTAAGCTTATGGTATCTAATGTATTATTTTCATCCAAGTAGAGTAATCTGTTTGAAGAAGGTTAAGAGTAGCCAGGCCAACTTGTGAATATGATGTAAAAAAGGAACTGTTTAATAAGATAGATGTATTCACGTCTTCCTTGAAGTCCAGAAAAGTTTAATTAATAAATATTTCTTGTTTCCTTTTGTGTTTTGTTGACTTACTGAGTTCTGGGTGATAAATTTGATCGTTTTCTGTTTGGATTCTTTTCTAATTTGAGGTGTGATAACTTCAAACGCCATATAATTAAGGAATATTTGGTTTTTACGAGTTGATCACGGATTGATATCAGTTAGAGAACCATTGAAAACCAGGGAGCACTGGACAGTTGCTGTTTCATCCTAGTCTGGGAATCATCGTCAGTACGCATCCACTGCCAGGGTTCGAGCCCTGGCGATGATTTCCAAACTAGGATGAAACAGCAACTGTCCAGTACTACCTGGTTTTCAATGGTTCTCTAACTGATATCACTCCGTGATCAACTCGTAAAAAACAAAATTAACGCTTACAAACCAAACTATATAAAATATTTGTTTTATCTCAGTGCATTCAGTTGTTTGTTACATTTCACAATGAATATCACCAGTGTCTTTCTGTCACATGATTTGCCACTAGTAAATAGAAAAAGATATTGATGTTTCGCCTGTCAACAGCATTAGAAGACTGACTCTTCTTGTAACTGCGAACACAATCCATTCAGATAATTGTTGTTCGTTTATAATTTTTGGCGAAACCTTTTCTCTTTATTCATAGTTTCTAAGTAATGTTGCAGAAAATCCAGTTTATAATAGAGTTGCTTTTATAAGCAAGCTTATTCGATCTATTATACTTCTTTATTATTCAGACTTCAATATGTAGTCGAATAGAAGTGTTTATTGAGTACTGTTTTTGACATTAGTTCTATTTTATTACAGATGACCGTAGTTTAAAGATAATAACTGTGATTATGCACATTGTTCAAACATCTTACTCTATAAACTTGGCTAATATAGTTACGTAGATTCATTAATATAATCACACTGTATGTAGTTAGAAATGTTAACTGAATAATGCCAATCATGTTTGAATTCGCATCGTCAAGGAGCATCAATGATAGTCAAAGCAGATTTTAACCAAGAAGCATACAACGTTTTTCGACAATCAGGTACTTCATTGTATATACTGCTTGTGTATGCAGGTAGGTAGACAGCATTTGTGTTGACCTGTAGTGTTTTAAACATCGGCCGACTGTTTCACTCGTTCTAGGCCTACAGCATCAGTGATGTACTGGAATTGATTGATCTAGCTGGCTTCTTGGGCTAACTGTTATTACATTAAATAGGATAGTGTATATTACTAATTGGTTTAAATATTTGGAGATCACTTCTATTAACCGGTACTTGCTTGCTTTCTTGATAACTATTTACGTTATCAAACAGTTAGTAGGGCATATCTGCATCGTAGGCAGAAACTCCTCAGACACATCACTGTACTGATGATCTTCTTGACAACACTGCACACACTCCAACGAATAAGGTAGATTAGCTTGTGCTGCACCAATTCGTTTAGATGTTTGATTATCAAATGGTCAGTCATAAGTTCTTAATGTAGTCCACCAACCGAGTTTCAGAGAGTTAGTCAATATTGTTGGTTGTAGCAGTAGTTGGTTTAGCAGGTGAGTTTATACATGGTCGATGTTATTATAACAAAAATTACGTAGGCTGATAATATTTCTGTTTATTACTCCTCGTAACCTTAAAATACCATTTTCTCCATTCTTGTTTTCTAGGGAAGAAGTGATCTGAATTGTAAGAAGAACAATTGATATACGCATTCATTCATGAGTTTATCAAGATGCACATTCAATTCTTTAGTTAAGGCTTCTAAACGACTTTATGATTCCTGTCGCTTATTAACTACATCTCAACTGCTATTGTTATCGTCATCTAAACAAGGTGTAGTTAATAAACCAAGTGCTTACAAAGCCTTACTGAAATCATCATCAGTTCGACTGTGTATAGATGATTTACCGAGTAGTGCAAAACAGTTTTTCAATGTTCCTGTTAATTCATCAAATAAATCCCCTGACTTTATAGTTGTATTATCCAGTGATGTACAAAAGTTGATTAAAAAGACTCAATGTTCTGTCAATCTTGTAAGTTGAATGGTTTTATTTTTGTTTATACCCCTTTCGCTTTTTGTATTTTTCACATTTTAGTGTTTTCTTTTGCATACTTAAAGTGTTATGCATTGACATTTTTATGATAAGCTATATTTTCTAAAAATTCCTTTACGTTCCCAGTAGAACATAAGGCTTCAAGCTAGAGGCTTGAAGTCTCGGTAGCAATGGTGCTTTTATTTTTAGGGTTGCTAGCGTCATACCCAACCTTGCGTCTTTACCGGTCATATTTTACTGGCTTAGTGAGGTAAAGGAGTGCGTCGGCCAGGGACCGAACCCCTAACCACATGCGTAGTCGGCGAGTATTCTATCTCTGTGCCACCGACGCATAAGCGACATAGTCGCTGTTAATTTACCTCACCCATGCACTTACATCGATAAGGTCTGAGATATTTGTTAAATTGCTAACTATCTTTGAATCCATAATCATGAGAGTTTGAACTGGAAAGCAATAATTAACAATAATGCAACGGAGCGAATAGGTACAACATGCTGTTTGTTATCAAGCAATCAACCAGATTTGATTTGTGAAAACTGAAATAGGTATTTTTTCAATTTATAACTCTGTATCCAATGCTGAAATGTGAAGAAATTGAGTCAATCAATCTTGACTTTGAAAATAATGCATAACTTTAGAAAACATCCATTGCATTGGTTCAAGTTTGCAGTCTTCTTAACAGTGTTTCTAGTAAACCAAAAACAAATTACCACTTAAGAGTTGACTTTTACGTTGAAGTGTTAAGACTCTATCAATTGTGGGAAACACAAATTTGCTTTTTACTAAGACAAGGCTGCTTTCTGAATTTTTTGTATTTTAATATATTTGTTGTGAAGTCGAAGTTTCTCTAGCAGTTTGATAGCTTTTGTGTTGTAGGGTCGCTAGCCCCACACCCAACCCTCCCTCTTTACGCGGGCCTGGGACCGGCTAAAAAACTAGCAAGCTAGTACACCAGGCGAGGTCGGTCCTTCTCTACTGGTCAGAAACTTGGCATGTCACGAAAAGGATTTCCAACATGTTGTAGACTTTTACTGATAGCTAACTTTGTGTGTCTGTCTGCGTGCCTGCCTTCCTCGACTGACGGGCAATGGTAGCTGATATAGGATGGATCAGGTTGGAAAAGAGTTAGCTAGTGATGATCAAACCAAAACATGGTCTCATCAGTCAATGAAATAAATCCACAACAGTTATTTTAAGCCAGTCATATAGGGAGGTGTAAACTGGTGTCTGGTTGAAGTCCTCGGGTTGGTGAAAACTACTGGCTGGATACAGTTGTTGATATGGCTGAAAATCGTCCTCAACAGGGCATATGCATCCACTCCTAGTGATTTATAATATCCAATAAAACTATAGTGTTCTTCCATATTACTAATCATCTTCCTTTACACCTCTGTTTATTATCTCCATATTTAACCTCTTTTTACTCTCTTCTCTTGCTTTGTATACTACATGGAGGGAGAGTGGCAACTCGAACTGCTGCACATCTGTGCAGAGTTCTAATTTGAAACTAGTCAGATCACCTCAATCTGGCTGGCAAGCACTGCTGGTTGATCTGGATGGGATACAATCGCTCATTTCAATCAATGACTGGTACATAGTTTTAGGTAAAGAATTTTGCCTTAAAGAAAAATTCAGTTATTTACACGAGCATCTAATATCATCATATCATTAACTACTGTCCTGCATTTCTTTACCGTTATGTTATGTGTTATGTTTACAGCATACATATTATTATGTTAAGCTTCAAAAGTTTCTATGTTCGTTAGGTTATTGGATAAAATAGACCAAATCGATAGAATCAGGAAATATTCTAAACAGCTAGATTTTGTCTCATTGAAACTTATTAAATTGTTATGAATAAAACTCTTAGAATATTTGCTTCCTAATTTCAGATTGAAGACGATTTACAACCACCTTTAATCCAATTAGTATTAAAGGATAATGTATCACATTCAAGTAAAAATCTACGAAAATATGGTATTAATTTACCGGATAATATTCGACCAAAAATTATTGGGTTTAATTCTAATATAGACGAATGTATGCTAAATGTTCGGTTGAAACAGGTAGAGGAATTCCTACAAGCCAGTCATTCAGTTTTCATTATTGTTAATATTATAAGCTTGAAAAAATTGATGGCCATACGAAACAGACAGTCTGTAGCTGTTAAAACAGATATTATTCATAAAGATCGATCGAATAATGAACAAGAACAAATTCAAAACTTACAAAAGGTTTGTGCATTTGTATATATATATATATATATATATATATATATATATATATACTGCTCTGAGTATTTCTGCACTTGATAGCATTAGATCAAATTTGCATTCTACATATATGGTTTCAATGTAAACACAATTCACCAATGAATTCATAGAATTGGATTACTTTTGAGGAGATCAGCTTCACTAGCAGCTGTGCATCAATCATATGGTCACACTTGTCATCCGTTATTAGGACATCTTAGCACACATACCCAAAGCGAACAATCGTTGCATGCCTTTGATATCAAGGCTACCTTGGATTCGTTGTACAGGACTATTCTTTATGATTATTTTCATAGAAAGAGATGGCTTGAGAAGTTTGTCAATATCCTGAAGCATTACAGGTGGAGTGAGGACACACAAATATCTTTCTCTACTTTTCTCAACCAGCAGTGGTATAGATAGGGTTACCACTAATAATTTTTTTTTTGAAGACATCTGGAAGATGTGCTTCGTGGTGGTGTCCATGTGATCTTGAGTATGCTGACGATAATGTTTTGCTGTGTGATCACATTTAAGCTTCCAAGGTCGCAGTCACTCCTGTGAAACACAGCACCTCCGAGTTGATGATGTGTAGCAGACTTGTGTGTTCTATTTCTACTGTTGCTTGCGTCCGGTAGCATATCTATGTAAGTAATTATGAAGTTCGACTGAATGTATTCAAGCAGTGGAGATGAATTTTCAATTGGTATCATCTTGGAGCACCAGTTTCGGTTGCTTTTAATATGTTACGAATGTTATCACATCAGTGTTGTGGTATTCGCCACTCCATGAACTGAATGAGGCGGTCATCTCATGCTGTATACGCGTTAACACTTGTTTGTTCAACGTGACTCTTTTTATCTCTTTCCATACAATTAACCTCACATGAGCAAGTGGTTACTTGCGCCATGTTAAACTTTGAGCACTAGTAAGTACCATTGAAGTGCAACCACACCAATGACCTTGAAACGCTCGGTGAGCAAGTTAGTGAAACCTAGTAAATGATATCGTAATCATGAATAAAATATGCTTAATCAGGTGTTATGTTATTAAATGGGATATCTGGCAAGTTTCAGGTTAGGTTTGAGAAAGATTACGTTAAGGTTTAGGTTAGGGATAAGTTAGGGTTAGGTTAGCCTAATGAGAGCGACATTAGGGTTGGTTGGAGTTAGATTAGGGTTAGAGTTAGAAGACCTAGATAATTACATGCATAGAATGTGGTTAAATAACTCTGTTAAAACTTCAATCCAAAACTGAGAGGTATTTTTGTCACGCTTCAAAGAAGAGTGTGTTTCATACCTTATAGTTTATTATTTTCATGAATATACGTATTTTATGCCCGAAAGTCGCCTTTATTAGGTCATTTGACCATTGGTACTTTCTGGTGCTTAAAGTTTAACTGTATCATTACTTGTAATGTTACGCCATGAAAGTGAATATTAATGAAATTAATATTATCAATTTTCGCAAAGCCAGCGTAGAAGAATCCTTCTCTATAGTCTACCGGGTGCCAAATAAATTGCCAAAAACATCGAAGCACCGCAGGCTCCAAACAGCAGAGGCTATTGCGATTTGCCTCAAAGAACCAGCGCTCTGTGTTCTGTTCTGCCCTGGCCTTCAGTAGAAACTATAAACTCATGAATTTGTAATATTATCTTTCTCAAATACGTTTCAATTAATACCCCATTTGTATGCAGATAACAGTTAATTTAAATGTTTTGAGTCTCAATCTTACAATTTGATACATCGGCTAACTGTTTTAGATAAATAGTTTGCTATTCAAGTTTTGGTTTGTAGGGATTTTGATTGGTTGGTTAGAGGATTACATCATGAGCTGACATTCGTGCGTACTGGACAAAACAGCTGTCCAGTACTCCCAGGTTTTCCAATAGTTCTCTAACCAGTGTCAGCTCATGATGAAATCCTGTAACCAAAAAGTTTGCTGTTTCGTCATATCTCACTAATAAAATTAAATGAAAATCTGCACGAAATGCTGCACTGGCTTGTGTTGTAAAACATTTTGGCGATGCATTCATAAATTAGGAAGTATACCACTTATCTGGTGAACAAAAGTCTTTTGAGAAATCATACCTCACCTCACACTAACTTATCATTCGCTACAAGGATTCGCATAATTCATCATTACGAAGTATTTTATATGCCTCAATCGTTCCATTGATAGATACAAAAACACCTTGAAATTAGAAAATACTTGAGGTATTAAGCAAAAATAAGCCTCTCTGATATATATATATATATATATATATATATAGACCTCATTTTCTACATGTCATTTTTACATGTGTATTTGTATTTCTCTCACCACACTTATTGATTGATGACCAAATTTTCTCTCATGCTACTTATGACCTTTGAAATCCTACTGGTTGTTCAATGTCTTAATTTATCAACGACATTAGTGCTTCTCAAAGTCATTTTAAATACATATGTATGCAAGCGCTGTCAACCTTTTTGTTTATTGTTGTTTGGGACCGTAAGAAGCTATCTTACCAACGTCCAGTCTTCCCTCCTCTCTTTGCGGCCAGGCGGTATTATCGTTATTGTTGCTGTTGTTGACGTGCGATTACGACACATTAGCCAGCGCTCATAGTCTACTAGGTCGTACCTCTGGTCATAACACTTTCTTATTGTTATGTTGAATACAAAAATTATCAGACATATGCATCCTTCTAAAAATTGATTGTAACTAATATTGAACATGTGATAGCCATGTGTGGTTTACAGTAATATTTCGAGTATCTTATCCTTTTTATACAAATGAGAGGATATTCAACTGGGAGATCTTAATTTTTTTTTAATAAATTGAGCAGAGAATATCTTTTTCCATAATTTCCTCTTCTGGCTCTACATATACATGAATATATACATATAATTGTAGAATAATTTTCATTAACACTATTGGTGTCTTTAAATGCTATCGATTTGTTAAGCAAGATCAGTGGAATTACATTTCAAGAAAAACGCTCAAGTTTTAATAATCATAAAAGCGTCATATCAAATGATAAGATAATTTCACCTCTTCTATGTGTATCTATCGATTTGACTGCTCCTGTGGAGTCAGTGACAGTGGTCGTACAATTAGGCGTGTTTATCTTCGGATTTCCGAACATCACCCTGTGCAGAGTTAAGTAAAGGACAAACAAAATCCATTCATGTCACTATTCTATCTCATTTCATGGATACAGAACACAAGATTGATGTTAACGAAGCGGCTTCCAAAGTCATCTACCATATACCAACTAATTCTAACTTTACCTTAAGAGTTCATCTACTAAATATCGCTGAAGCTGGCTGTTGGGATCCACATTAAGAAAGCTAACTTATCTATCCAAAAGAAATTGGTTGGTTCAGACACTGTCCTTATCTTGTCCATGAAGGTTTTAATGATCCTCAATTTGTTGTGAAAATTCTCCTTAAGTTTGCTGAGGCAATCTCCATCAAGCACCTGGAACCCGATTTATGCGTTTAGAAAGAAGCGGTTATCAGTCTTTCCCTGCCCTGGTAACTGGATGGTTTTACCTTCACTTTCTTGTAATTACGTAACGCTGAAAGTTTCCACTATGTATGATTATTATTGTTTAGGATAAAGCGTTTATTATCATGATTATTAGCATTGTATGCATACAGTGGTTGATTGATTTTTTGTTTAAAATGAACTCTATGCAGTTATGTTAAAATTCCCCTGTAGATATACCTGACAATGTCTTTGAGCTGTGAGCGGCCGATGAGAAGCCAAAGAAATACATCATGGTGCCATTTTGTTCTGCAAAACTTGTCATTCTTACTTTATTCAAATTTATGCATCTTTCGTGAACTGTAATTCCATTGAGCTTACTTTAAAAAATGATGGTATTTAAAAACACCAATATTATTATTAATGACGATTATTCTAGAATATTCTGTGTATATAAACGTAATACGTATAACTGTTGAGCCAGAATAGGAAATTATCGAAAAGGATATTCTTTGTTCTGTTTGTTTTTTTCTAAATATCTGAATGAATATTTTCGGTATATTGAGATCCTAATTTGTTCACATAAGATTTCATTTAAAATAATAGAAAAGATTTGTAACTCAGATGGATGATTTGCAATTAATAGTGTTCTCTGAGCTGGTTGGTTTAGTTGCGGAGCTTCCGTCGTCCCCATTCTGGACAACATCTTCAGCGCAATATTTAGCATAAAGTCAAATGATTTAAATTTCTTCTTGAGTGATATAATTGCATCTCCTGGTGACCAACCATCTTTACATATGTATTGACCATTTTCTATTGACTCGGATTTTAAACTTTCTGGTCATCTGATTTGCTTTTTATTAGTTGATATATTTCATCTATATTAACGTGTTTATTAATGGCATTTTCGTTTGAGTACTAGGCTTCCAGGAACTCCCTGGCACTTTTGGTGTTTCCTCTGTCTAAGATTTCGAAATTATCCCAATCAAACAGAAGTCAATAATTGTCTATATGCATTGACATGATATAAATTCTTTAGTATCAGTGCATACAGACAATTATGGACATCAATTTGATTGGAATAATATCAAAATCTTAAACATAGGAAACACCAAATGTGCCAAGGAATTCCTAGAAGCCTGGTACTCAAGCGAAAATGCCATTAATATACACGTTAATATAGATGAAATATATCAACTAATAAAAAGCAAATCAGATGACCAGAAAGTTTAAAATCTGAGTCAATAGAAAATGGTCAATACATATGTTAAGATGGTTGGTCACCAGGAGATGCAATTGTATCATCATTCATGGGGATTTGAAATCATTTGACTTTATGCTTAATACTGCGCTGAAGATGTTGTCCAGAATGGGGACGACGGAAGCTCCGCAACTAAACTAACCAGCTCAGAGAACACTATTAATTGCAAATTATTCATTTAGTTAGATTTCTACTATGAACTATTACTATAGGAACAACTTTTCTTAAACGGGAGCACTTTACTCCATAATAATATATTTTAATCACCCATTTATGATATTTTTACAGGAATATATAATATCTTTATTGTGGAAACATTACTTTGTTAACCTTTTATATTTACTACATTCATATCTGAGTTTTTTTAACATTTCTTAACAACTCTTTTAGATGGAGTGCGATAGTGTTGTGAAGAAACTTAGCAAAATGCTTGAAAATGTGCCTTGTAAAATGCGTCACGTGGATCGGCCTGATACCTCAAAAGTGGTGTTGCTTTTAGAACCTGTAAAGTGATAGATGATACCTTGGCGATATTTAGTTTTCAATCTTTCTTAACTTGGAATTATTTCTCGTCTGTTTAGAAATTAGAGTGTAAATAATGCTGCTTTTTCTTAGGTGTATTAAAATTTATTTGTAAAATCTTTTTTTACTATCAGATGACCAATTTAAATAAAACACAACTATGTAAATATTTGAAGTGTTTGATTTCGTTGTCCTATTCAACTGCTGAACATTGTACGTCAGTTTGAGCGATATCCGGATACCAAGCATTACCACTGAAAGGAATTCCGTCCAATGAGTTGGTTAAAGTGGGATGTTGATACGGGCTTCAACTGTTGGTGCAAGCGTTCTATCATCCCATCAGCTTGAAAACAACATGCTGTGGGAGGGATTTGTGTAATCCTAAGAAACTGGACAAGTTGTTGAAAATTTCCGCCGCGAAGTGGGCACCTCAACCAGTTGCTATCGTTACAGGCATCCCGAGCATAGCTACGCGGCGTTCAAGAGAAGCCTTCGCAAATGCTTTCTCTGTAATATAGGTAAGTGGTGCAGACTCTGGAAACCTGGTGAACCCATGAATGCATGTGAAATCCCCATGGATTTGGGTGAATTGCATGTCCGTGCGCGGAAGGGTGCCTAAACTTCACACTGTGTGCCTACTTACTTTAGCCTTCTGGCATCATAAGCACTATGTCGCCCGCTTCAGCACGCTGTACTGTAGGTCCGACAGAGGTTATCTGGGCTTGAGCTTTTGGTTTGGATGTGAAGGAAGCTAATTAATAGAGCTTTTCTCCTAATTTTAGAGACGAAGGGTCTGATTCGTTATGCCACAGCACACCAAGTTGTTATCTACAGTAAATGGGTTTTGCTAGTTTGAGGACGGAGTTATTTTCAATGAGGGTTTGTGTTAACCCTTCCTCTTTCTTTTAATGTTCGACAAGTGCTTTGAAGTTTGTAGTGGTTGGTTGCGCTGCATTCACGTACATTCCGGGCAGTGCATCTGCCACACACTCCTCCAGCCCCATCACTTGCTTCATAACACTTCCAAACTATGATGTGAAATCAAGGTGACGAATTTAGCATAGTGAGTATTTTGTCCGTTTTCTCTCTGAGCGCGTTCATTAGAGACCTATGATGGACTTCCTTCCACCACTTAGTGAAAATGTTTGGCTACTAAGTAGATTGCAAGTAATTTATTCCCAGACGTTGGGTTCCTGATTTCCAGGAAATTAAGCTGTTTGGGAAAGTGTTACCAGTCCCCAGCTATGTTTTACAAACGATTGAGAGCTACCCGCACAACCTTATCGGATGCATCTAGCATCAGTGCGATACCACCCGAATCAAGATATTTCACTGCTGTGGCTTTCGCCACGACATCCTTCAGCTGTGCAGCTGCATAGAGTGTCTCTTCTGACATTTGGAAGTCTTTTGGCTTCCCACCTACTGCATCAGTCAGTATGTGTGCCTTATTCACCTAGAAATAAAACGTCGATGGTGTAGAACCTACACAACACAGTATGCTATGGCCGCTCAGATGTAGTAAATAATTGAGGGATTCAGAAGGATGGAACAAGCAACCGAGCAGGAACTTTGTCTCTTCTATATTTTGTGAATTTTTCTTCATCTACTGATTGATGAATACGTACCCCCACTTAACTTGCCGTCTGCCGTGCCTACGAAAATAAAGGTTCATAAACCTTAAAAGTCTCCCACAACAATACGAGTATCGTTTCATAATTTGAATTATCTCTTTGATATGAAAGTCGGTTTCTGAAATAGACGGTGATCGACCCTAGGAAACCTTGGAGTTTTAGAGGGTGACAGAATTCTCTTACACAGCCTCTAAATTATTCTCGCGTACCAACAACAAAGCGAAAGCCAATATTTGATCGTCCAAACTAAGTTATATATTTCGGGACCAAAACAAGCCGTCAGACGAACGCTTAGCTAGCTAGTGATCGTGCACGTGACACGACGGGGTACCAAATGGCGGGGATGCTTGACCGGAAGCCTTCAGCTAAACAAATCGACTTAAACAGTGGTGGTCAGCATCCAATGGTGAGTGGTTGCTGTGGTCAATAATTTTGGGGAATTATTTACCGCTACAGAGTTGATTGAATGACACAGTGGATATTGCCTGACAGAATCCACCATTTTGGACATTGGTGAGATCCCGGTGCTGTTCGTTAAGTGACTGTGAATTCTAGTGCTTCCTTCCCAAGATGCACTAATTCTAAATGATTGTCATGTTCGCCGTCGTATTTGAACCTCAGGCGTTTCGTCAACAGCGATCAGTTTGTTTTTCTGTTAGGGTTAGAACACACTTGGTTCCCCAACTAATGGGATACTGGCTGTGCGCTGTGGTATGATTGTATATCAGTACACTCTTCATACCATCGTTAATAAAAAAATATCCTTGAACAGGAGTATGTGTTATATTCTCCTTTCCCTAGTTGGAGTGGTGTTAACAGCAGCCTGACCACCAGGTTACGTTGGTCAGGCTATAGAGTTACCGGGTAGTGGGGCAGAGGCGTAGGTATGGGAGGATAGAAAGGCATACAACATCTGTAAGAGCTAATTTTATTTAGAGCCAATCGAAAACCAGCAGTCTTACAAGTAACCTAATTAAATGTTTTCCCACTGTCTTGCCGTTGTTTTCTAGCTTGCGCGATACTGTCCAGATGTGGCCTTCACAAGTGTTTTTTATCTGGGCCGGTGATGAGAAGGTCATCTAATTCCACTTTCGTAAATGGCAGTTCATGCAACAAGTCATTTATAAATCTCCGAAACGTTTTTGCAGCATTCCAAATCGCATCCACAAGAACTGAAATGATTCGGATTAGGTGATAATGGCTGTTTTAGGCAAATGGAATAATGGGTTGGACGCAAACCAGATGCATCTTATTAAATACTGCGATACCTCTAAGATTATTAGTTAATTCCTAATTGTGAATAAGCTGGAACCCGTCTTGTTTAAAGCTCTGAGGCCGCCGACGGCAGTAGAAATCCATGGGTTCCCCTGCTTGCAACGGAGAACAATGTTCACTGTCTCCTCAGGGGGAGGCGTGACCTGGGTTTTATGATCAGGCTGAGGCGTGACGATGTAATGTTATCATACTGTCTGGGACTTTGATTTTGGTATGATGCTGAGTACAGCTCCTCAATAATCCGTGGAGTTCATGCCACAATTCGTGTTCCTGACGGAGAATAATTCACTTTCTGGTCACCCATGCTAATGAAATAAAACCGGAGGGAAATTTAAATCAGGCGCGTGTGCGGGTAAAAGAGACTTATAAACCGTAAAGTAGATATAGTTTCTATTTGGCTACTCATAATATCTTTCTGATTTCATTGACTTCGATCTGCCTCTACAACCCATGTCGTACAGACCTACAAAGCTACGCGATCGATCAAACCCTCCATTTGCCACGCTGTCATGTTAAATGTGGTTATATGTACACACACTAGGTATTTCAGGAATAATTTGAGCCCCATGGAGGGTGGCAGCCCATAGAAATTTTGTGATGCTTAACTATGAATCTTTACATCGCAGTTTCAAAGAAGTACCTGTTATTTCATCTGCAGAAATTAGCATGCAATACTTTGACCTGACAGTATAACACACTGTTAATTCGTTCAGAAACATAGGATTATAGGTTAACTACAAGTAAGATAAACGCACTCTATGTCTTATGTGGCCAGCCAGAATATTTAAGCTTTGAGTACATTGACTAGAAATCAGCTTTTTCGCTGGTTCTGACAATTAAGTGCTTTGAAAATTGAATATTTCGTGAAATTAAACTGCAAATATCATATTCCAAAACGATTTTTTCACCAACCAAAACAGACAATACGCAGGTCTAACATTACATTGTGCTAGAGCGGACTGGAGATGCATGAGAATTTTCTGTAAGTCCTCTCTCAAGCATTAAGAAAGGCACCTGAATATATTGTTTGTTTAGGTGATGATACACAGAGGTGGCAAATTACAAAATCCTTATTATTAGGTTCTGTCAATCGACGTGAACATTGAATGTTTGTTTTTAGAAATGGTACCCATTGGTGGGCAACTCGAAGCAGCGAATAATTCGATGGTGTGTAAGAGGAACAAAACTAATATTGCAACACTAATCAATGTTTTATTTTCTCTACTTGCAGGAAGACACCAGGGAGTCAACTGCCTGCACAAGGAATTGCAGAACCTGAAAATTAATGAAGCGCAGTAAAACTGTAATTCCCCAAAACTGTACCCCGCACTTTTTAAAAAGTCCATTCTCTTTGAATAAACTCTTTCCTGTGCAGTTGGTGTTCTGCTTTCATTAAAATGTGCCTGCTGGTTGCCTGTTACAGGTGTACAAGTTCGACGAAGACGAACAAAAACGAATAAAGGTACATAATAATTTTGTATAAAACATCTGTTTATAGACTCGTACTGTTCTCCACTTTAATTGCCAAACAATATAACTTCCTTCTTACAATTCTGGTGTTTTGGAGTTAAAGTCGAGGAAAGTATATAGTATTTATCGGTGCAGATTGGCTTCGTAACAATAGAAACTTAGGGATACGTTGTAGTACCCCTATACCAACCGTAAACATGCTTTTTAATCTAATTTGTATACTTGCATTATATGTGTATACAGACTGATTTTATACGTACTTCGCAAATACTTGTCAATTCACTGTTGAATATTACCTTGACACAATTTCGAATTTGACTACTGCTTCAATACATATTCGTAATCTTCACAAGTGCCTTTTGATTTACGTTGTGGGCGTCGAGTAGCCACAACGTCTGCGCACATCAATAAGAACGAAGAAATACATAGAATATATGTGTACAGCAGTTTAGTCAGACAACGCACGCAACAAAATTGGTGAGCCCGACGACCAATTTCGACAGCGACGACAAATTGGTATCCTTGACGATAACTGGTTCACCCCGACGACGAATTGTTGACCCCAACGACAAATTTCAACCCCGTCGACAAATTGTCCATCGCAACGACAACTTTTTCACCTCGACGATAACTTGTTCACTGCGACGATAACTTGTTGACTCCAACGACGTTTTGTTCACCCGGACGCATCATTACACTTGCTGGATTAATTAAACTCTAACTTTATCGGATATATATACATATAATAGACATTTCGAGCTGATTCTTGTGCTTTCTCATCGCACAACTTG